GTAGTAGTAGTAGTGCTAGTGGTAGTTGTAGTGGTAGGAGTAGAGTAGGAGTAGGAGCAGCAGCAGCAGCAAAAATAGTAACAATAATGAGAACTAATAGGGCTTGCGGACAGCTTCTTTCGTTTCACACTGTTGACACCCCGGTTGGGGAGCACGAACTATGGTTCAGGCCAGGATGATTGACCTTGTTGATGCCTGCTACATATGCCAACTGCAGCATGCTAAGCTGAACGAGCTGCAGCGGCCAGCGGCTCCCAGTCACTGCAGGGCAAGGCAGAGTGCAACAGGGGATTCGGGTGGTGGGGGGTGGGNNGTTTAAGTCAGTATGACGAACTGTAAGTCGGACTGAAGAGGCCTGGCAAAAAAAAAAAGAGAGCAGAAATAACGGCAAGAAAGGAATAGTGCGTGAAAGTACCAAGTGTGACAGCACCACCAACATTGAGAGCAAGCGCCACGGTAATGATCACCATCAAAGTCCCGATTAGGACACTACTATATCAATCCCCTTCACGATCCAACACGATATTTAAAACTTCGAGAACTAAGGCGGGAGAAAAGCACGCATGCACAGGAATATCCCATAACACAACCTGGTAATCAAGCCTAAAAGGCAGGGATATCCCTTTAAAAGGCTTTAGCCTAGGGTCGTCTAAACCCCACACGCTTCTTTCCTTTAGGAGTCCTGACCCAAAACCCAAAACCCTCAACCCTACACCCTAGACCCTAAACCCCACACCCTAAACCCTAAACCCTAAACCCTGAACCCTAAACCCTGAACCCTGGACCCTAAACCCTACATCCTAAACCCTGCACCCTAAACCCTAAACCCCGCACCCTAACAAGAAGAGGGCCTTCCGGGCGTGGCGTCCTCCAGCTCCTCGAGGCGGCCGCTGAGCCAGAGCGTATCGCTTTGGGCGAGGTGAAGTCCTCTTGGTTAGGGTTTAAGGTCTAAGGTTTAAGGGTTAAGGGTGTAGGGTTTGGGGTTCAGGGTTCAGGGTTTGGGGTTTCGCGTCTACGGAGCTCCTTTAAAGGGTATTGTAGGGTTCAATAATAGAGCTCCCCCTTAAAAAGGTACTATGAGGGCTCCTTTAAGGATTCGTTTAAGGGTTCCTACAAGGGCTGCTATAAGGTTGAGAGCGTCGGTTTAGAATTCGGGGTTCAGGGTTTGGGATGTAGGGTTTTGGGGTTTTGAATTTGGGGTGTGGGGATCAATCAAAGTTTAAGGGATTCGGCTGTGGGGTTTTAGTTTTGTGGGCTTCTTCGGGCTGGGGTAGGCTCTGGAGGCTTCAAAGTGACGGGTTTAAGGATTTGGGAGTTTGGGGTCTCAAAGTTTTGGCTCAGAACTATCGATCACGGCCCATCAGGACCCAAGGACAAAGCCCTCGATATTGCAGCAACTCCCCTGACCTATAGAGCCACCTGAGCTGATGACATTTCTGATCATTCACCTGTGCTAAATCCTAAGAAACCCAAGTTCGCCTGCTTAGGAACTTAATTCCAGAGCTTGGGACACCTGCCTTCATCGGATGTGCGTCTCTCCGCACTCTCCATGGCCCTGCAGCCGGCTGACTTCAACAAGGCAAAACAACGCGATGCAGTCAGGTGCATGCTTCATCACACACACACACACAAACAAAAAAAGCGGATGCATGAAACTACGTGCATGTACAGTAGCGCGATATACTCATGAATTATGATAAATGTCTTTTATAAACCCGCATACACACATATTTGGGCCTGCATGCATGCATGCATGCATGAATGCATGATGCAAACCATGCATGAAGACAGACAGACAGACAGACAGACAGACAGACAGACAGACAGACAGACAGACAGACAGACAGACAGACAGACAGACAGACAGACAGACAGACAGACAGACAGCAGGCAGTCTATCGACCGATCTAGCATTCTTTCTGTCTTCATATCGTTCTACCCGTTTACCTTTCCATCTATAGTAGCTCTATTTCTCTCTCTCTCTCTCACTCTCTCTTGCTGCGGTCTGTATTGATCCATTTTGAAGTTCTTTTTTCATTCTACATGCCCAGCCTCAACCTGTACAGGTTGATGGCCGTGCCGAACTCCTCCCCTTCCAGCTCCTGGCTATGGCTAATATGGAGAATCACTGCTTGCTGTACTCTGATCGCAATACGCAGATCACCGTGATGATGAGGAATAGAGCATCGATGACGATGACTACTACAGTGATCGAATCATGTGTGTGTTTTTGGTCGCGGTTGCGGGCTTGTCGGGTTGCAGGTTTGGGAATAATGGGGCTCACACGTCGCATGGTCGTACTGCCCGTGTGTAACTCACCCTTTCCCATGACAGCAACCGGCCATGAACTAATCGTTGGCCTGTCCTGGCGATGGCTTTGGCCTGCAGGGTAGATGAGCACTATCCCGTTCCCAAAATTCTGTATTCGGGTTTGCATATGATAAACTGATAAAGGTCTGCAAGGATATCCAAGTAAGTCTCCTTCTGCCTGCAGGAAGGCTCGAGAAGATCTCCCTACCGCAGTTGCGGCAGGCTGTAGGAAAGCCACCTATGCTTCACCCCATAACCGTCGTCGTGTTCATCCGTACCTACTACATTGTCCAGGACAGACGACTGCAGAACTCTGAATCCAAAAAGCATGAATACCTGCCTGGAGATATGGGGGTGAGGACTTCGTAGGCCTCGCCATTGAAGAGCAGCCGCCCAACCTCCTGGAAATGCTGTTGGGTACGCTATCAGTTCTAGCTTTGAGGACCAGAGTGTGTTGGTTTGCGCCTTAGGGTTTGGGGTTTAGGGCTGTAGGGTTTTGGGGTTCAGGGCTTCGTGCTTAACGAGTCTGAGGTGTTCTTAGGCCTGGGGTTTAGGATCAACGGGTGTTAATGCTGACAGTTTAAGGGAAGTGGGTTTGCACAGACAGAGACATGTTACAGCATCACAAGATTTCCGAATACTGCAGTGGTCGCATGAATGATTCCTCCGGCGCGGAGGGCTAGGTCATATTATTGATAAACTTTCCATTTTGGCAAGTTCACAAGAACGAAGACCGATTGACGCATCTAACATTATGCCCCCTCCCCCAGCACGGAGACGTAGCCTCCAAGCCGGTAATTACTCTTGGAGAAGGCCCGAATGACAGAAAACCACTCCTGATACGTTCAAACCCTAGACTCTAAACTCAAAGCCCTAAGCAATTCCAAGTCCTCTAACCCAAAATGCCGTCAACTACACCCTTGAGGGCGACTGGTGGGTTAAATCTCTGCCTCCTCGGAGGCCACGGGGCATGGCTGCGACACCACCGAGTCACCTCGGAGGTGCAGGACCTCGGGGCTGAGCTAACGGGGAGGTAGGGCTTTCGGGCTTTCAGGGCTTAGGGGGCTCAGAGCCTTTTCAGGTTTAGGGTTCCGGGTTTTTTCAGGTTCAGGGCTTTTAGGGCCTCAAGGTTTAGGGCTCCGGGTTTTTTCATGTTCAGGGCTTTTAGGGCCTTATATGGTTTAGGGTTCCGGGTTTGGGGCTCAGGGTTTGGGCATCCTCCTATGACGGTTGTGGGATATTGAAAAAGCTCAGATCGTCCATGTTCGTATCACTTAGTGCCTAAACCCTAAACCCTAAACCCAAAACCCTAAACCCTGCAAGTAAGGCCTAAACTCGGACTCAAGGGACAATCGGCCTCCTCCCTTCCCCCAGCCCCGAAACCCCTCAAAACCCGCAATGCGAACCAGGAGCGCAGGCATGGAGGTGCAACTCTGCATTTGGCAGATCCACCACCTGCTCGCCTCCAGGGACCGGCCCCCCTAAACCATGAACCCTCAGAGGTTAGGGTTTCGGCTTTTTTTTTTAAGGTGTAGTGGCCTTTTCGGGGTTTAGGGTGTGGGGGTAACCTGAGCTCGTTTGAATTTTGTATGTGGGACGGTATACGCGTCAAGAACCCCATGCTGCACTGAAGTTACAGTCCCAACCCTCGAAGTGTCCAACCCAATATGCAGCTCAATCTGGACACCACTACCCCCCCCAAATGAGGAGAGCTCAAGTCGGGTTTACGGTTTAGGGATTTAGGGGTTTAGGGGTTTAGGGTTTAGGGTTTAGAGTTTAGAAGACCCTCAACAGCGTTTGAGGTCCCCGCACCTTCTGCATCTGGCCCGCGCCGCGGCAAGGCCTCTGCAGCTGCGGTGAAGGCCTCTGCCTCCACGAGAGCCTGCACGCAGAAGCGGGCTTGGCTAATCTGGGATACCGAAGCCGGTGCCGGTGCTGGTGGTAGTAGTGGTGGTTCTTGCGATTGCAGACTTCGATGAACAGCGCTTGTCGCTGTGGGATCGGCAGCACTGCACCAACTTTCCTACAGTACCGCAAGTCTTGGAAATGCTGATGGCCACGATCATTGCCATCATCTGAGCCAGCATCGACCCGTGTTGTCGCGAGAAAAAACCTATGACCGAATCAACAAGCCCGCTGTCAGCGGAACCGAATGCGCTCGTAACTCACAAGATGAGCACTTCAGATGTGACTGAATCGGCTTTCAAACCTTCTGAAGGATGCTGCTTCTGGCGACGTGCCCCAATTGGCTAGACCGGAGCAAACGGTGCATTGGGCTAGAGATCTGTCCAGGTTTTAAGGGAGCAGCAGTTGCAACAGCTGCTGGATTATTAGGCTCCAATGACACGCAAGGCCTCCGGAAAAACATCCGCGCAGTCCTTCCACTGCTGCGGCGAATGGAAGCGAAGCCAAAATGCGAGGCCACACATGGCTGGCTTTGATGCATCGCGGCGCTCAGACGTGAGGGGGTTGAAGATCCAGAGCTTCGAGGATGAAGCATAGCAGAACCTCGAATCGTGTACATACCTTGCCTGTTCCTTATTAGGGTTCCTATTATACTTGGGGGTATACTTTGCCTGTTCCTTATTAGGGTTCCTATTATACTTGGGGGGTATAATCTATTCCAGCACCCTATTCTAATTGCTTGATGCAGTTATACCGACAGCAGTCTGTCGTGCCGATCAACGTCGAGGACACAAGAAAGCTGTCAAATGAAGTGGTCGCTGTGCCGTTTCGTCGTTGTTCTTGGCGACAGTTCTGGAAGCCAATGGCTCGTCTTGGGCAACAACCCGCTGAATGATAGCATCATTGTCATTGTAATTTCTATCACCACCCTGACACCATGCTTAGAATCGTAGCTGCTCCAAGCTGAGCACCAAGGCTTCGTGTTTAGGTCTCCAGTGAGAGCAACTCTCAACTCCAAATAGAGAAACCCCGAAATCCTCGACCCCCAAACCCAAAGACCCGATGTATAAAGGCCGATCACAAGCTCTACAAATCCCTACTATTACAACCCCATGGAGGCCGGTTCAAACCCCTATGGAACTCCATTACAAACCCTCCAAAACCATATAGATCGCTCTGGAAGCTCCCGGCGGCTGCACCGGGGGATACCCGGGCGGCGCGGTGTCCGGGGGAGGTCCAGGAGGCGGCCTTGCTTGGAATCTTCCTCGTAATACTAGGTTTAGGTCTTACGGTTTAGGGCTTGGGGCTTAGGGCTTCTAGTGGCAAGAAGGACACCAATGACACGAATGATAACGACTATGAAAACAACCGCACTTGTTTTGTAGAAGCGGTAGTAGTGGTGGTAGTAGTCAGTCGTCGTCGTAGCCATAGTGGTCAAGTAGTACCACCACTACTACTACTACTACTACTACTACTACTACTACTACGACTACTACTAGACGCTTTCAGGGTTTGGGTCGAAGGCGTCTAGGGGATGTTGTTGAAGGTTTCGTTGGTTTTGAGGGTTGTTCAGGGCTTAAGGAGTTGGAGTTTTCGGGCTTCGTGGTTTGCAGTCTTGAAAGCTGTGGGGCATGGTGCGTAGGGTTTAGGAGTTGCCTGAAAAAGTCAATGCGGGCAGCGAGGGTACCACTAAGCTTGGGGTCTGTAAGACTTCGGTGTTTGGGGAGTGCGCTTGACAAACAGATCTGCTTGGAGGATGGTCGGCAAATGAGGTGAAGCCTGTGGATGCTCTGAAAAACACCGCAGATTCGTAGCAGGAGCGCTACGTCGTAGACCTGGAAGGTAACGAACATCCCCAAGCCACCGGAGCTAAAATCGTAAACGCTAAAGACACCAATTACTCCCGTTCGAACCCCTGCTGCTGTCAACCCGGAGCGTGTGCATGTCCAAAAGCAGCCTGTCGTCTGCGTGCTTGGACTCTCGGTGTCTTCCTCTCCTGCAATGCCGTGGACACCGCGATGTAAAATAGAGTGATCAAACCATCTGTGCGAAACAGAACATGCAGGTCTTACATGCACACGTACAGACGTGTAAACACCGATCAGCATGATTGGAGAAGATGATATTTACCAGGGTCCGCGAGAAGATTGTGAATCAGTGCTGACATCAACATCGCACAGTTCATGTACATGAGGTCGAGATGGGTATGAAGATGAAGGCCAAGGCGAAGTTGAAGATGAGACACATGGCTGAATGACAAGGGCATCATCTCAAGGTTGCACAAGGAAGACACGCAAACCATTACAGTTAGAAGTGACGAGCGTTTCAACAGAGGTACAAACGAAAAGGCATGCAGCTGAACTTGATTGGTCCATGCAACCATCTTTTCCCTTGCCTATCAAGACAGCGTGATCCTGGCTCCTAGCCTTACGAATACCAGTGCGGACAGACGGACTCACAGACTAACGGACGGGGATAGACAGGCACAGACCATACAGTACACACAGATAGATAGATAGATAGATAGATAGATAGATACACAGATAGATAGATAGGTAGGTAGATAGATAGACAGACAGACAGATAGATAGCTAGAATAGGTAGGTAGATAGATAGGTAGGTAGATAGATAGGTAGGTCGATAGGTAGGTAGATAGATGGGTAGGTCGATAGGTAGGTAGATAGATAGGCAGGTAGATAGATATATATATATATATGTCTCATGTACCTATCATGTACCTATTTCAGTCAGATCGAATGTAAATTGGATGACCCTTGGCTGTCGCCTTCTGGAGCGACTCCGCTGTGCCTGGGAGAGGCTCTTGGGGTTGGTCTTTGCTGATGACCCCCCTTTCAGGGTTTAGGGGTTTAGGGTTTAGGGTTTAGGGTTTAGGGGTTTAGGGTTTAGGGTTGAGTTTAGAGTTTAGGGTTTAGAGTTTGGGGTTTAGGGTTTAGGGGCCCTTTTCCGTCCACCAGCTTGCTGTACTGTAAGTCGGAATGGCGAAAGGGGAGTTCGAGGGATTCATCACCTTATCACCCCCGATGTGGTTTAGGGGGCCGCTTGGGGTCTCTGGCTGCTTCTTCTCCTGCAGCATAACTCCCGAAAACCCGAAGCTGCGACCCGCGACCGCAAATCCATAACCCAAAGACTCTAACACCCTCGACTCAAATCTGCACCCCTACTCCCAAAACCCTGAACCCCCAAAACCAAAACCCAAAAACCTGAACCGTAAACCCTAAACCCTACATCCTAAAACCCGAAACCCCGAGACGCAAAACCCCAAAACCCTCCAACCCTGATAGCCCAGAAGGCGGTGCCTGGGTGGGAGCCCTGGCTTCCACGGCTTTGGTCTCCTTCTGCAAGGGTTTTAGAGTTTAAGGGTTTAGGGTTTAGGGTCGAGTTTTGTAAGAATTTGTGAAAGGTTTAGGAACTGGGTGAAGTTCAGGGCGAAGAATGTAGGCCCATGTAGGCCTTAGGGAGCAAAATCTGGGGTTTAGAGTGGAGGATTCGGGAGTTCATGGCAGGGCTGGGTGTGTGAATTTCTGGTTGAACATGAAGCAGAATAGCATTCGTAGTGCTGCCACGAGACATGGTTCATGAGAATACTAATCATAATAACCGCTGATGCCGATGCTGCATCATCGAACCTTCACCACTGCGGTGTCATCCTAGGAACATGTCAGAGCTTTAGTTGGCTGCGCATGCTAACCACTATCAATACTATCGCCACCATTTTACTACTCTGCGTCCGTGGGCTTTCGGGGATTCGTCCGTGAATGTACCTGAGATCGACGGACACTGCCATGAATGAGCTGAGCTAGGTCAGGGTTTAGGGTTGAGGTTTTCGGGTCTTAGGTTTTGGGCTTTAAAGCTTACGGCTTCGGGTTGAAAGTTTGGGGCCTTAAGCTTTTCTCTCACGACATCCCGAAATAGCTAAATTGGGGTCCCTTTTTAGGTCCCCAAAATAGTACGGCACCCTTATAACAAGGACCCTAAAACGGAGCCTAGTTTTGAGACGAGCTGTGCATCTTTTCATCCGCCCATCCTCCGCCGCACGCGCTTGGGCACCGTCCTCCAGGGTCAAAGGTTTGAGCGCGGAGGTTGGTCTTGGGGGGCTGGGGCTGCTTGGGGCAGGGGCTTTAAAATCCTTCTCCACGACTCTCACTGATAACCGTCTCAACAAAGCCAGCCTAGGTATCTTGAAATCAACATTCAACAAAGCCTTTCATGCAACCAAATCGTGAACCAGTGCCGCAGTTCAATTAATCCGAGGATTAAAAGTAGCACGTCGCTCCTCGTCGCCTCCGGCGCCAGCCGGTCGTTCGAAGACGAGTGACTTCGCTGTCTGCACTTGAACACAATCGGTTGCAAAACTTGGCAAATTCAAAGATAGCGTGCTTTCACGGGAAGCGACAAACATCTTCAGCCATTCCACTGGGCCATGAGAAACTTCCGACAGTTCACGCAAAGCACTCCGAAAGTAGTACACCTTTGACCCGCGGCCCTTAGCTGAGCGCTAAAAACCACTCATGAAGCCCAACAGAGCACAGATACAAGAACCGAACGGCCGGGCGCGCCCGGAGGAGAGCAGCGACTTTATCCTGGTCGAGCTGGGAGATGTCCTGGCCTGGCGCCAGTTTGAGAACGAAAAGCGTTGATCATTTTCAGAAAGGGGGGGGCTTTCGATGTTGAGCGGTTCCGGGCTGAAGCCAGGGTTCGAGAGGCGGAACATGGTATGCATCTAGATGAGCCCCGACTGTGTGAGGACTAGTGACCAGCAACCCTGAATCCACGTCCAATGACCATGACAAGCAGGGCATACCGTCGATGCTCAGGAGCAGGTCATCGCTCTGAATGCCATGCTTGGCCTGCCACATGTCGGGTGTCGTATCTAGCAGAACCCCCCATGAACAGCTCTGGACTCGTGCGGCGATGCAAACACCACGTATACTCTCCCGGAACGTGCCGTCTCCGTGTCCGGATCCACGTGGAGGACGTGGGGTGGCTGACCAGGGGCCACGAATCCCAACGCACATCCTGCGGACGGGTCGGGTCTTGGCTCTTGTGCTTCCAGGCTATCACGTTTCGGCAAGATTCCCCGTTCGGTCTTTCAAGAGAAAAGTCTGCCGGCGCACACTTTTGCTTCGGTGTGAAGCTACTGCATCGTAGCACTGCCTGCCACAACGACGATCTCGGCATCAACCTCATCGACGTTGACAGGCGGGGTGAGAGTCACCTCCGAAGCGCGTCGCTAAACCTCTGTTCCAGCAAACTCCCAGGATCGTTGCGTCTATACCTCGACCTGAACTTGCGCTCACGGTTGCGCGTTCGACAGTGCCGCAGTCTCACAGCCCACAGTTTCCCAACCACGCCAGCCACAAATCCGAAGGTCCGAACTCCAATCGGGTAGACCTGAACTGGAGTCCCAAGGCTCGCGAGCCCACAGTGTGTCTCTACTCGATACATCAGATGCAGCACTGCGGCACTTGAATTACAGTACCACGGCCCATCCAACATGCAAAGGGGCTCGTAGCAGCCTAATATTTCTGTGCATGTGTATGCATACATGTATCTATGCATGTATGTACGTACGTATGTAGTTGTATGTCTTCATATACATACGTATTATAAATAATACATATATATATATATATAGGTACATCTTTAGCTATTGACTTACTTAGTTCTTTATATACTTGTTTGCTTGCTTACTTGTTTGTTTATTAACTATATTCTCATGTATCCTTCTACTTATTTACATGTATGCACGTGCAGCTGCATATAGATGCATAGAGGCATACATAATGACAGACGACACCTCATCAAGGCCTCACTTTGGTGGGTGGAGATCAGCCACTTGGCAGCAGGAATCCGTGTTGGACTCCACTGCAGAATTCGGGTCTCTGCATTGGAGACCACATATGTACAATCCACGTGGGTAGTTCTCTAAATTAGGGTCCCCTTTTTAGGTCCCCGATAGAGTACGGCACCCTTATAAAAGGGACCCTAAAAGGGACCCTAACTTAGAGAACTGCCCATGTCGCTTTCTGCTGCAATGGCAGCATCACAACACCGGCTTTGGGAGCTTGTGCACAGCGACATCCCCATCAGTGAGGGAGCTCCTCGATGACGACCTGGTGATCTGCAGAACCAGAACCGGTGGTTCACTGGTAGTTATCTGAAGTGCCAGCCGCATTGGGGCCACTGTAAATAATCATGCAGTGGATCACCACAGTCTAGTTCCTATTAATAATCATCCGGTGGAGCCATTGAAGGTGAATAGCTGAAGTACTGTGAGCCTCCAAAAAGCTCCAAGGCTCTGGCTGTGCAAACGTTCCACCCGGCTGTCGGGTCCGCCCTCCCAACAACCCGAAGCCGAAAGTCCAAACCCCGAGAACTGCGAGACCCATGTAGACTCCAGACGCCAGTCACTCTAGAGCCTAAACCCGCGACTCTACTTCGAGAGGCTGTAGAGAATAAAGAAACCCAAACTCTCGCCCCCGAAAAGCGGCCGAAATGCCCCACACCCCAAGCATCAAACAAACACCCTGAAACCGGAAAACAAAAACCTAAACAAGGGTTTAGGGTTTAGGAGTTTAGGGTTTAGAGGAACAAAAAAACAAACACCTTTGGCCCAAGGACCCCCCCGGGGGGGGAAGGCTCGAGGTCCCGGCTGCGCGCTGCAGTGCGGCCTCGAGGAGCACCAGCAGCCCGAAGAGTACCTGCTAAGATAGAAGTCTGAATAATATGGTTCAGGCTTTAGGGTTTAGGGCTTATGAGCAAGAAGACATGCATGACACTAAGAATGCGAGTAATTATAACAATCTTAATGATCATTATAATAGTGATATTGGGACTGATGGCAAGAAATACAAGATAGTGCTAAGAAGAACAATCATGATGCGTATAATAACAATGAGTTTGTTTATGATAGCTATGATACTGTTAACAACGATGATACTGATGATAATCCTAATCATTCAGTCGCGGTAACATGCGGCAACAACAACAATAATGAACCATGTCCCCTTCTAAGCCCACTGCTGCAAAATCCTGCTCTAGGTTTTTTCAACGTGACCAACGGGGCACCTCGTCGCGCATCTTTGGGTTTTCAAACCCCACCACCACGGCCTCCTCGTAGTTGGTCACCTCGGGACATCCAATCAGGTCACTGCGTCGGGAAAAGCATGCTAGGCTTCGGGTTTATCGGCTTGAGCTTTGGGGTTGAACCTCAGCGACCAGGCTGGTTCTGTTCAGGGTTCAGGATTACGGACATCCTGGACATCCTCCCTTGCCTACACCGACACAACTCAAAAGCGAGCCGGGCTACAACTGTCATCAGTGTATCCGTCTCCGGCTCGTCGTCGCCTGGCCACGAGGCTCGTCGCACTGGAGCCCAAAACCCCGTAGTCCATGGACAGAAGATGCCGGCAGCTTCTGACTCTGACTTAAGCATCCCAACAGGCTCAGGACTCAGGGCCGATGGGGGGGCAGGGTAGGATCTGGGGGGGGGGGGGGGGGG